GAAAGAATTGGATTTCCATGTTGCCTGAGGGTCTGGATTACCAGTAATAATATTGTAAATAATGTTCAGTTTTTTGTACAGACAGATCGTTTTGCTTCATAAGACCACAATATATTGTCAGTTGCTACGGGTATTAATTTTGTGCTTCCTGATTTGCTTTATTTTTATTCTCAAAAATGTGCAGTCGCTGACTTGCAATATATCTGTCACGATCTCTAGCTGGAGTGCCCATGAGCTCCTTTAGAGGGCACTCGATCCCTTACCTGCACCTTCTCACCCCGGATCTCGGACCTTCACCTTCTCACCCAATCCCTACTCCGTTGTCACATCGCCCGTAACAGAAGACTCAACCATGCCCAGATCCAGCAGCTTTTTGAGTGTTTCTAGGCCAATCATGGACCCAGTAATCAGGTTAGTTTGCCTCCATTTGGGAATGCGCTCCCTCGAGGACCACATTCAAGACTTTCTGCACATTGCATATCTCTCTGATCTCCCAAACTGTGCACTCATTGACTTTGTCTGTCATGGACTTAATGAACCATTGAAGATGATACTCATTCATGATGGTCCTTGAGGATCGCTTTGTCAGTTTCAGGATTATGCCCGGCTGTTATGTGGTTCCTCCTTCACTGTCGGGCTTTTGAGGAGGATGTGTCCCCTAAAAATCTTTTTTTTAGTAGGCTGGGGGCAGGACACAACAAACTTGCCAATCCTGTGTTATCTGCACCTTGCTGTCCTGTGGTCCCTGCACCTGAGCCAGTTCACAATATGGCTGCCGCACCTGAGCTCCAGTCCATGAGTCTGCTCCAGCTCCTCCTGAGGTGACAGCCTCTGCTGCAAAACCTCCCGAGTCTGTAGTGTCTACTTCAGCTCCTCTCTGGGCAGTGGTGCCCACTTCTGAACTCTCAACTTGTCCTGTCACGACCAAGGAGGCCGTTCCTGAACTCTCAACCTGTCCTGTCATTACCAAGGAGGCCGTTCCTGAACTCTCAGCTTGTCCTGTCACGACCAAGGAGGCCATTCCAGAACTCTCTGCTTGCCCTCTTATGGCCAACGATGCCGTCTCTGAACTGTCTGTCTGTCCTGTTACAGCCACAGAGGCCATTGTTAACCTCTCTGTGCTCTCTATTGCAGTCCCGCCTGATCCGCCGTGGTGGTCTCCTGCACCATCAGCTCCACTGAAGTGGTCCTCAGCACCTTCAGCTCCACCGTGGGGATCTTCGGTCCCATCTGCTCAGCTGTGGTGGTCCTCAGCTCCGCCCTGGTGCTCTTCAGCTCCACCAGCTCCGCCCTTTTGGTCTTCAGCTTCGCCTGCTCTGTCCTGGTGGTCTTCAACTCGCCCTGCTCTGCCCTGACTTCCTGCTCCACTGGCTCTGCCTCGGTCTCCAGGTCCTCCAATTCCACAGGGACCTGACCCTCCATCCCTCCCCCTGTTCTGCCTCCACTACCGCCTTCCTCCTGGACTTCTATGACCCTTTGGGGAGCATCTGG